AAATACAACAACAACAAAGGGTTCCTAACCTTAAGTGTATAAGGTTGAGGGTGCAGCTCAGCAACAGGTGAGCCTGCACCCCAGGCCTTTGCCACTCACCATCATGCTGTCCCCTCTGACTAGTAAGAGTCCACCCAGGTGCATCAAAGCCTCCCAAAAACAGTGTTCCTGAGGCTCTCCCCACAGGAAGTGTGCCCCTGGGCGGGACTATCTCTGGAGCCTTCCCAGTACAGCTGAGCTCCTAGGCTGTGTGAGGGGCCCTGGGAAGATGTAAAGGACGTGCTGTGGGTGTGTGAAGTCACACAGCAGAGGAGACAATATGACCTAACTAAACTCAGTCTGGGTTTATAATCTGAGAAGCCGACGTGCTCAGCTTGGTCCTCAGTACCGTAGTCACAGAAAGTGAGTAAGTTAATGTTCTAGCTCTGTATTTCATGCTGATCTCCACCCATTTTTCCCTAAGGACTGGCCTCCGTGGAAAGTAGCTGATCCCATGTCTCTAGAGAAGACCCACGTGTCTGCAGTGTCCTGGAAACAGTACACCTCAGAGTAGCGGAGCTGACTCTGGAAGGCAAAGGAGTCCTAGTAAGAGACTCCCGTTGTCCAGCTAGTGACAGCATGGGGAAGAGACAGCAATGTCTGCCCTTCTTAGGTCCCAGACCCAGTTAGTTCACTGTGGGGGACCAGTGAGCTTGCTGGGCGTCCTCACAGCATAGGTGCAGAGGTTCTCAAAGGGTGTGCATGCCCCTCCCCCCACCATGATCCACATGCATTACGTAATTCTCACAAGATCAGTGTCTGAGGCAATGATTACTTCCTCATATGTAAGCAGAGAACGAAATACCACTTATGTCATAGTGCTGTTGCAAGGATTTAGAAACTAAAGCCCATGCCTCTTGTTCTCATCAGTTCTCTTGACTGAGGAGAACCTCTTGGTAATGCAGAGTTAGAATGTTACAGAGCCAGAACAATGCCAGGTGGTGGTGGTAGATGCCTTTAATCCCAGCACTTGGGAGGCAAAGGCAGGTAGATCTCTGTGAGTTTGAGGCCAGCCTGGTTTACAAAGTGTGCTCCAGGACAGCCAGGGCTACACACAGAAACCCTATTCTGAAAAAAAAAAAGTAATATAAAAGGCTGGGTGGTGGTGGTGCACACCTTTAATCCCAGCATTCAGAAGGCAGAGGCAGGCGGATCTCTATGAGTTCAAGACCAGCCTGATCTACAAAAGCTAGTTCCAACACAGGTTCCAAAGCTAGAGAGTCCCTGTCTCAAAAAAACTAATAATAATGATGCTAATAATAATAATAATAATACTAGAATGTTACAGAGTCATAACCAATTTATATTGAGCTACTTTTAGTTTAGTTTTTTTTTTTTTAAAAAAAATTATGTACATTGGCATAAGGGTCAAATCCCCTGGAACTGGGGATTATAGACAGATGTGAGCGGCCATGTGAGTGCTGGGAATTGAACCTGGGTCCATCCAGAAGAGCAACCAGTGCTCTTAACCACTGAGCCATCTCTCCAGACTCCTGGCTTAGCTCTGTTTTTAAGCCATTCCTCTCTGACCAGTGTCTCACTGAACAGACAATCATGCAAAACTTCACAATGCATCCTTAGCTGACTACTGGTTTCCACCATACCTAGCCAGCATCCGAAACCTGTACCACATTTTCTCCACTCTACTGGAGCGCTCCAACCTGTGGTCCCCACCCAGGGACTTGGTAAGTGCCTGGATTTATGACCTTCTTTGATCTCTCATGTACTTCCTTCCTGTGGAACACATTATTCTGAGCAGGCTGAACCTGGCTCTTCAGGCAAGTTCATTCACAGAGCGCAGAATAAACTACTTCTTATTCCTTTTGGGGTGAGAGCTGTTTGGGTTTTGTTTTTGTTTCTGTTGTTTGTTTCTTTGTTTGTTTTTTTAAATATTTATTTATTATGTATACAGTATTCTTTCTGCGTGTATACCTGAAGGCCAGAAGAGGGCACCAGACCTCATTACAGATGGTTGTGGTTGCTGGGAATTGAACTCAGGACCTTTGGAAGAGCAGGCAATGCTCTTAACCGTTGAGTCATCTCTCCAGCCCCGTTTGTTTGTTTTTCATGGACTTTTTAACACAGAGGAGTAGTTACCCCAATGCCTGGCAAGCAGCAAATACTAAATACACATTTGCAGTGGTATATTATTTGTATTTTGATAACTAAATCGTGCCTGAAGACCAGAGGCAAAGCTAAAACCACTAGAGGTTAGTAATGGTGGCACACACCTTTAATCCCAAAATTTGGGAGATTGAGTCAGGTAAATCTCTGAGTTCAAGGCCACCCTGGGCTACACAAGATCAACGCAGAAATAAATCCAGGTGGTGGCGGCTCACACCTTTAATCCCATCACTAAGGAACCACTGTACACCCTTAATCCCAGCACTAGAGAGGAATATGAAATGAAAGGAGACAGAGTCTGTCTGTCTGCTTAATTTATGGTTGCCCGGCCTTGGTAGAGGTAAGACTTCTCTTGTGGCTTGGCTGCTTTGTTTTCAAGTTGAACCCCAGTTTCTGTCTCTGGGTTTTTATTTTTTTATTTTTATTTTTTTTTTATTTTTTTTTTTTTTTTTGGTTTTTCGAGACAGGGTTTCTCTGTGGCTTTGGAGCCTGTCCTGGAACTAGCTCTGTAGACCAGGCTGGTCTCGAACTCACAGAGATCCGCCTATCTCTGCCTCCCGAGTGCTGGGATTAAAGGCGTGCGCCACCATCGCCCGGCTTGTCTCTGGGTTTTTATTATTCATGCTACACTCATATACTATTTTTTAAAATATATTTTATTTTACATCTAAAAGCATTTTGTCTGCCTATATGTATATCCACCACATGTGTGCCCTAGTTCCAGGACAGGCTCCAAACCCACAGAGAAAGCCTGTCTCGAAAAACAAAACAAAACAAAACAAAAAAAAGAGTAACAAGTGCTCTTAGCTACTGAGTCAGCATATAGTTCCACATTTACTACTTTAAAATTTATTATTTTATGTGTATAGATGTTTTGTGCACATGTGCCTGATGCCCACTGGGGCCAGAAGAGGACATCAGATGCCCTGGAACTGGAGTTATAGTCGTGAGCCATCATGTTTATGCTGGGAATAGAACTCAGGTCCTCTGGAAGAACAACCAGTGCTCTTATCTGTTGAGCATTTCTCCAGCCACCAGATTTATTTACCAGTATTCTGACTTTATAGAGAAGTAATATCTTGTCTAAAGTAGGATTTTCAACTCAAGAAGTTTTTATTTGTTTCTTCAAAACAATTGAGAGGGAACTTGAAAATGAAAAAAAAAAAATTTTTTTTTTTGAGACAGGGTTCCTCTGTGTAGCTCTGGCTGTCCTGGAATTCTGTAGTCGAGGCTGGCCTCGAACTCACAGAGATCCACTTGCCCCTGACTCCTAAGTGCTGGAATTAAAAGTGTGTGCCACTATCACCCAGCAATGAATAAGTTGATAAGAGCACTGACCGCTCTTCTGGGAAACCCAGGTTCAATCCTGGGAACATACTTGGCTCACAACTATCTATAGCTCAACCTGGCGCAAAGGTATACATATGTTCAGGCAAAACACCCATGCACGTAAAGTCTAAATAAATACATAAATAAATACATAGATAAATAATGGCTGGGGAATTGACACAGTGGTGAAGAGCCCTTTTTTTTATTCTTTTTTTTAAAATTTATTTAATTATTAAAAAGTGCCCTTATTTTTATATTTTTATTTTTTATGTTTTCAATTTTGGTTTTTCAAGACAGGGTTTCTCTATAGCCTTTGGGGCCAGTCCTGTAACTAACTCTTGTAGGCCAGGCTGGCCTCAAACTCACAGAGCTGGGATTAAAGCTGTGTGCCACCACTGCCCGGTAAGAGCCCTTATTCTTGCAGAGGATCAGAGGGATTGAGTCCCAGCCCACCTGCCACCTGGCAGCTCACACTCTATTTGAGGAACAACCACCTTCTTCTTCTTCTTCTTCTTCTTCTTCTTCTTCTTCTTCTTCTTCTTCTGCTGCTGCTGCTGCTGCTGCTATTTGCTTGCTTGCTTTGTTTGTTTGTTTGTTTGTTTTTCTTTGTGTAGCCACAGCTGTCCTGGAATTAGGTCTGTAGACCAGGCTGGCCTTGAATTCAGATCCACCTGTCTCTGCCTCCTAAGTGCTGGAATTAAAGCCCTGCGCCACCACCATGACCCCAGAACAACCTTTTCTAGTCCTCACGAGCACGGCATACACCCGGTGTAAAGATATACAAGCAGGCAAAACATCCATTTACATCAAGTAGAAAAGGGGGGGGCTGTTAAAAAATAATCAAGAAATTGCTATACCAGGTGGGAGGGGAGCTTGTTTAGTTCCGCCCATGATTGAACTTAAAGCCACAGACCTCTCATTTTTTTTCCTCCCCATTCCAGTGCCTGGCCATGTGCAGCGCTGACTGTTGTTGCTGCTGGCATGGGATGTAGCACAGTTGACAGAGCTCCGAGAGTGTTTGCCTAGCATGCACAAGCCCTTGGCTTTCTACCCCCAGCAACCTATGAAAAAAGGGAAGAAGGACTGTTAGATGGAGGCAGAGGCCTGCAACTCAATGTCCTCCTCTACTAGACAGTGAGTGTAAGGCCACCGGGCTAAGCGAGATGATGCGTGCCAAAAAAAAAGAAAAGAAAAAAAAAAAACCTAACAAACTTCCAACCAACCCGAAAGACTAGCAAAAAGAAAGACCATCTTTCTAGGCCTAAAGAAGCCTACTGACAGGGCAGGTGTACCACAGGGGCAGCCTAATCTTCCTCCGTCCAGAACAATTTATCGAGGGCGGGTGCTCTCCAAATCACATACACGGTCGAGTCACGAACCCATCATTCGGTGCTGCAACTCCTCTGGAGGCCCCAAGCCCCCACCTCCCCCACCCCCGCGCCGCACCTGCTGTAGAACTACATTTCCCATAATCCCAACCGTCCAAACCCTGCCCTCGAAAGCGGGTGGAGGCGGAGCCTGTTGCCCCCTGGGTACAACGGGCGTCCCGGGTGTTTGTCCTCTGCCCCCTGGGTTATGATTCTGTAAAAAGAGGTTGGTGTCCCTGATGAGGGAGGCGGCCTGTCGCAGCGAGGAATGATGAAGGGCTCCGCAGTGTAGCGCGGCAGAGGCAGCCGAAGCGGGGCGAGCGTGCCAGGATAGAGACGCAGCCGGGGGCCGCGAGCCGCTGAGCCCCGTCGGTCTGTGAAGGTGAGTAAGGGGGTGCAGCGGCACTGACAGCTCCCTGCCAGCCACGGTGAGCATAACTACCAGCATTCCAGACAGCTCTAATATCCACTGACCCCTAGCTTATGACATCGGGGTACCCATGACTTCTAAAACGCGCCTTACAATCAAACGTCCAGTAATTCCCATCTAGTAATCCTCTAGTACTTCTTTCATTGCCTTATGTCAGTGTTCAGTGTCTTTCTCCTCAGGACCATGCGTTTTTAATATGGCAGGTGCTCGCTCACCATCCTGCCCATCCCCCCCCCAGCACTTAGCCAACTGTGAGGTGCTGAGGTTAAAGTCGGTTGCATGCTTGATTCTTTCTGTTCAATCTAGTATCACACTTAGTACCTGTCTCTGATGTGCAGCAAGTTATTCGTGACGGCCACTGTACAGTATCTGCCAAAAATAAATAAAATGAAATGGTACTTGGGGAAAATTTGCAATTTGCTGAGCATATAATTAAACCAACTGTGGAGACAGAGGCAGGCTGACCTTGAGTTCAAGGCCAGTCCAGAATACTTAGTTTCAGGACAGCCAGAACTGTGTAGAGAAACCTGTCTCAAACAGACAAACAAAAACCAGTCAAGCCAAGTCTTGACTGAACCCTGAGTCGTTTGTCATACCTTTAACGTGATTTGACTGAGTTGCTTAACCTTCTTTCAGGACCTGCTTTTCTTATAAAATGAGAAAACTGCATTAGGTGAATTCTAAGACCCTTCTAGGTCTAACATTATATGCTTGGTGGGTAGAAGAATTCAGATTGTTTCACAATATGTAATTGCTAAACATCAATGTCCACCTTCTAGCTAACATCAGTAAAATAATAAATATAAAAATGTATATATTGCCTGGTGGTAGTGGCACACGCCTTTAATCCCAGCATTTAGGAGGCAGAGGCAGGTGGATCTCTATGAGTTTGAGGCCAGCCAGGTCTACAAGAGCTAGTTCCAGGACAGGCACAAAAGCTACAGAGAAACCTTGTCTCAAAAAAACCAAGAAAAAAAAAGTATATATTTTTGCATAGCAACTTTGTTACAAAGAACTAACTTTTTATTTTTTTTATTTTTTATATGCATATGGGTGTTTTGCCTACATGTATGTCTAAGCACCACATGCATCCAATGCCTGAGTAGGCCTGAAGGAGGTGTTAAACTCCCTGGAACTGGAGTTAGGGACATTTGCTGGCTGCCATCTGTGTGTTGGCACCAAACCTCAGTCTACTCTCTTTGCCCCCAACAACTGACACTTACTAAGAACATGTAACCCACACCTTAATTTGTTATTGAAAAAAAAGAAAGAAAATTACTGATAATACAGGTTTGTTGCTCATCGCTGTTTTGTAGGTCATGGTTAGGAAGAATTCTGAATACAATGATAAACACAGTATGCGTGAAGATGGCTCAGATCTTAAGACCACATCTCATAAATGCTTCACTGATTCCTCACGGGGTAAAGATGCTGTCAGATTCTGGATCTAGGATGATCTCAACCCATAAATCCAAGAAGAAGATGAAAGAATATTATAGGCTGCTGAATCTAGATGAAGGATGCTCTGCAGATGACGTCAGGGAGTCTTTTCATAAGCTTGCCAGACAGTATCATCCAGACAGTGGCTCTAATAAGGCTGATTCTGCAACATTTATAAAGATCGAAGAAGCTTATCGGAATGTGCTTTCCCACGTGATAGAGCAAAGACAGGCCAGACAAAACAAAGCTGAAGACACAGAAGAGGAGGACAAATTCAAATACAGTACACCTCAGCACCGGCATTACTTAAGCTTCGAAGGCGTTGGCTTTGGGACACCAAGTCAGCGAGAGAAACAGTACAGACAGTTTAGGGCAGACCGTGCTACGGAGCAGGTGATGGAATATCAAAAACAGAAACTTCAGAGGGAACACTTTGCCAATAGCATAACTGTCAAAGACGTAAGACAGAGCAAAGAACAAAAGATAACTCAAGCCATAGAACGCCTGGTGGAGGACCTCATCCAGGAATCGATGGCCAGAGGAGACTTTGACAACCTCACCGGAAAAGGAAAACCTCTGAAGAAATTTTCTGGCTGTTCATATATTGATCCCATGACTCACAACTTAAACAGAATATTGATAGATAATGGATACCAACCAGAGTGGATTCTGATGCAGAAAGAAATCAAGGATACCATTGAGCAACTTCGAGAAGGACTGTTAGTATCTAGGAAGAAACTTGGGAACCCTCTGACACCCGAAGGACAGAAACAGTGGAACCAAGCCTGTGAGCAGTTTCAAGACAACATCCAAAAGCTAAACAAGCGAATCAGTGATTTCAACTTGATTGTTCCCATCCTCACCAGGCAGAAAGTCCATTTTGATGCCCAGAAGGAAGTGATCAGAGTCCAGAAAATGTACGAGGCCTTCATAGAAGCAAATGAAAGCACAGATGAAAAGCCAGTCCACGTTAGCCAGGAAGAAGAGAAAGCGCCCAGAGTCAAGACAGGCTTTCTAAACTGGTTGACTTTGTGGAAATTCATTAAAATTTGACTCTTTTGACATTCACGGTCATTCCTGCTCTGGTCAGTCTTGAGTTGCCCTGACAGCAGCTGTAGAACCTGAGATTGGTTGTTGTACCCCAAGGACCTGAGAGTTGTGTGCCTTTTTAGTGTTTACAGAACTAAACACACCCCTGGTGATAGATGAAAAAACATAAGAAACCAACTTGAGAGAAAATTTATAGCATTGCTATAAATAAGGTTGTGGCAAGAAAAGGTCCGCCATCTGAAGGGAAGGTTGAGTCAGGCCAGTCTGCACTGATGGGTAGGACAGACTCAGATCCTCGACTCGCTGGGGTGCTCCTGAAGCCTCAGTGCCCTTTGAAGCTCTAGGAACTCAAAGGCAGTTGCTGTCGACATTTCTAAATGTAGTTATTTAAACAACAAAACCAAAAGATGTATTTTTGAAACCCAAAACTGAAGAAGTTAATGCAATTTAACCAACTAAAGTCTCCAAATGAAATTTAAAAATCTCAAGGAAAAAAAAGAGGGGGATGGAGAAACAGCGGGGGAGGGGCAGGAGTTGAGAGTGCTTAGTCCTTGCTGCTCTTTTTTTTTTTTTTTTTTTTTTTTTTTGGTTTTTCGAGACAGGGTTTCTCTGTGATTTTGGAGCCTGTCCTGGAACTAGCTCTTGTAGACCAGGCTGGTCTCGAACTCACAGAGATCCACCTGCCTCTGCCTCCCGAGTGCTGGGATTAAAGGCGTGAGCCACCACTGCCAGGTTAAAAACTTTTGAATCACCTGGTGGACGGAGGAAAACTGAGGTCAGGAAATAGCCTGCTGGGACTCTGGTATTTACAAAGACCTTCCCTGTGGGCACTAGACAAAGAAACAGCCAAGTAAGTACAGGAGCTAACTTTAGATCCACTGGCTACAGAAGTTAATCTTAAACTAGTTGATTTAAAAGTTCTAAGAATAGGCCGGGCATTGGTGGCGCACGCCTTTAATCCCAGCACTTGGGAGGCAGAGGCAGGCGGATCTTTGTGAGTTCGAGACCAGCCTGGTCTACAAGAGCTAGTTCCAGGACAGGCTCCAAAACCACAGAGAAACCCTGTCTCAAAAAAAAAAAAAAAAAAAGTTCTAAAAATAGGTTCCAATGCTAAAGAGTTTGAATGTATTTTTTTTAACTTTTAGAGGGGGCAAAAATCTTTACAATCAGCTGGGCAGTGGTAGTGCACGCCTTTAATCCCAGCACTTGGGAGGCAGAGGCAAGTGGATCTCTGTGAGTCTGAGGCCAGTCTGGGCTACAAAACGATTTCCAGGACAGGCTGTTACACAGAGACCCTGTCTTAGAAAACAAAAGTCCTTAAGAGTTCACGTCTGGTTTGTTCTCTGGTCACAAGTTGAAAAGGTAAGTTCCCATAAACTCTCCATGGTGTCCTAACCCAGACTCCCTAGAGACTTTTCAGCAGCATAAGAATTCAAATTACTGTCTTGGGAACCCAACTTCCCATCTTGGGGTCCCTTTGATAATGAGGTATCTGAAGTTTGTTCCTTGGGGCTTTAGCAAATGACGAGACAGGAGTTGATGAGATTGTCGTTCTCTCCTTCAGCATATCTGGGGCTCTCGGGTTTGCCTAATCACTTTGAGCACAGAGTTGGGTACCTAGGAGGAAACCAAAGTGGGTGGAGAGGAACCAGTCCATCTCCAGACAGCAGAGAGATGGAATTTGGAAGAACAGCTCCTGACACTGATTTGGGGCCATACAAGTCATTCTGGAAAGTTTTTGATTATTAAACAAAGAAACCTACATCCTCAAAGGAAGTCGGGACCCTTCTGCTTCCCTGAGTCCTCAGAAGGACTTTGGGGCCCTTCTGCTTCCCTGCATCCTCAGAAAGATGTCGGTGCCCTTCTGCTTCCCTGAGTCCTCAGAAAGAAGTCGGGGCCTTTCTGCTTCAGTGATCGGCCATAGTTAGCATAATAAGCAATTCTTTTATTGGAGTTATTTGGCTTTTAAGGTGATAGTACTATATATATATATATATATATATATATATATATACATATATATATATATATTACTATAAATGAAATTGTCCAACAACATGAAATATAGTTTTGTGATAGAGTATGGTTCCAGAATATTTTAGAAGCCTATTTTTCTGTGATTCATGTTTAAAAATGGGAATTTGGAGTAAACATGAATGAAATAATTTTCAGTATTGTACATGAAAAGGTGAAGTTACCAGAAGACTATTAATTCTACTACCATTCACTTTGTTTGCAAATGTCTATATTAATAAAATGTTAATGATTGTCCAGTCATCCATTGTTCTATAACAAATAGTAAATGATAACCACATTTTAACAACCTGAGTAAATTTTTAAATCTTTTTTTTTAATTCTTGTGTTACTATTTTCTTTTAAAATTTTTCTATTTGTATATGTGTTAGTGTTTTGCTTGCATGTATGTTTGTGTATCATATGCATGCTAGATGCCCAGAAGTGGGCCGATCTCTTGTGCCTGGAGTTATAGACAGTTGTGAGCTACCAGAGAAGTGCTAGGAATTGAACCCAAGTCCTCTGGAAGAGCAGCAGCAGGTACCCTTGACCCCTTCTGCCCTCCTTTTTCTTTTTTGTTTGAAGCAGTTTCGTGTAGTCCAGACCTCTGCTTCCCCCTCCCTGGTGCTGGGAGTGCAGGTGTGCACCACTGCACCTGTTTCTGTAGAGCTGGACTAGAACATGCAGGCTTTCACACACGCTAGGCCAGCACTCGCCCGGCTGAGCTACACCCCAGGTCCCCCAAAGATGATTTACGTAAAGACAGCCTCGTTTTAGTAACCTGTCCAGGACAGGGTGTGCTTAGGCGGAATTGATCCTTGTGCTGTCGCTGCCAGCTCTTCCGCTTACCGATGGCTACGGCTGTGATCAAACACCCTGGCAAAAAGCCGCTTGGGGAGGAAGGGTTGATCGCTCACTGTTCCTGGTCAGAGTCTGCTGTTGCACGGAAAGCTGGGCACCAGGAACTTGACACTGCCAGTCCCATCGCATCCACAGGCAGAAGTGGAGAGACACGAACGCGTGTGTGCTGCCTGCTCACAAGCTTTTTCTATCATACAAGTCAGGACCCAAACTCAGGAAATAGTGTGGGTCCTCTGTTAAGTAAGCCTTCCCACATCAATGGAGGCCAGCGAGAAAACCCTGATCCCAGGCCTGCCCAAATGCTAGTCTGATCCAGTCTGGTCTAGGCACTTCCCATAGAAACTTCTTCAGTGACTCTGAGGTCACACCAAGTTGACAAAACTGCCGTGGCAATTTCAGAGTGCATTGACAGACATGTGCGGACTTCTGCCTTTTTCTCATCCCCCTTTGCACTGCTTCTTTCTCTAGACCAGGACTGGCCCAGTGACCTGAGGCTGGAGTCTCAGATCCATAGGCCCAGTCTTAGTCCTAAAGCTGAACCCCAGGAGAACAGCCACGGTCCGATGTCGGAAGGAGAGAGAATACTTCCAGGGACAAGCAAATGTGCATTATTCAGTCATAAAGGGTAGGAGTAACCCAGTGAGGGTACCCCAGCAGCGGTAACAGGAAGTGCATCTGAAAATAATATGCCAGCACTTGGGAGGCCTTTAGTCCCGGCACTGGGGAGGCAAAGGCAGGTAGATGGCTGTGATTTTGAGGCGAATCTGACAGTGAATTCTAAAGCCAGCCAGGACTACATAGTGAGACACTGTCTCAAATTAATGGGAAAAAAACCCTAAAACTCAAGCTAAGAGGCATGGTTAGGAGGAGCCCATGCCTAGGAGGAGCATTGCCATGCCCCCTGGCCAGCTAATGGTTTCCCTATTCTTAGAAATACCATCCATCCTGTGGTCAGTGTTTTGTCTTCCGCTGTCTGTTGATGTCAAGACTTTTACTATGACTCCATCTGAATTCTCAGAGAGCTATAATTGAGGGGACCAAATGGACTCCTCACCCTTAAATGTAACCCTGGAATACAGACTCCCTGGTGTGTCTGTTATCACCGCCACCCTGGCCTTAGGCAGAGGACAATGGACCCCTCTACATCCATGTTTAAAGACAACACAAATGTTGTAATAGCCCCGGCACCAACAGCTGACACTAGAATGGACCATCCAGTCCTCTTCACTTAAGGCTCAGGCATCAGGAGAGGGGAAACATCTTTAGGATGGGACAGCCTCTCCTATTGCTTTCTCTAGTTTGCCGTTAGGCCTGGTTCCCATGGAGAGTGACAGTTACAGTCATCTCCCTCAGAGGAACACCCTTAAGGGCCCAAACCATGCCTCTGTTCATCCAAAATCTAGAGTAGGGCCTAGGGAGGATGGAAATTTCTTTGCCACCAATGGCAGTTTCAAAGATCTGGCTTCCTGTGGGAGGGCCCAGTCTTCACAGGTGGCTGACAGGAACACGGGTATTTCCTAGCACCCTTAAGAGACAACAAACCAGATGCATCCAGACACCTCAGTGAGCTTACGGATGTTCTCAGAGAGACCCACAGCTGCCGGAGGGTTCCTACCTCGGGTTCACAGGTAAAGGGGACATCTGTGGTGCTGAAGCTCTGCCGTGAGCGTTTACCCGCTGGTGTTGATGGTTGATTCCCACCTCCTGTTGCCGGTAAACTTGGCTCTGTCCACTCTCTCATCCAGCTACAGTGCGTTAATCCATCTGGGATTACTATAAGTAAATTCCCGGGGAGGGCTATCTTTAAGAGAGACTTCCACGTAGCCGACAGCACAGGAGACCCGGGGTGCAGCCCTGCCACCAGCCCTGGCCTGAGTTCCCTTGGTTGCATCACGCCTGGAGCCTGACTACAGAGAGATTGTATCTGCAAACAGGAAGCCAGAGAGAAACTGGGTAGGGCCAGGTTCATGCTTTTGTAATAACCTTTCGGGAAGAACCAATTAGAGTCCTGGGTAATATACCCAGATCGCTTCCTGGAATGTGTCCCCAGTTAAGCTAGCCCCCCACCCCACTGGACTGCACCTCCAATACTGGTGGGATTGTTTCTTGAAACAGGGTCTCTAGTCCAGGCTGACCTA